GGTGATGGTGATGATGGCAATGGTCATGGTGGTGATGGTGATGCTGCTGATGATGGTGATCATAATGGTATTGATGGTGATGATAAAGATGATAATGATGGAGATACTGAAGATGTTGATAATGATGTGGTGATGGTGATGTGATGGTGATGGTGATGGTGAAGATGATGGTGATATTGATGATGTTGACAGTGAAGGTGGTAATGGCCAATGTGAAGATGATGGTGATGGGGATATTGATGATGTTGATAATGACGGTGGTGATGGTGGTGATGATGATGATGATGGAGATACTGAAGATATTGATAATGATGGTGGTGATGGTGATGATGGTGATGGTCATGGTGGTGATGGTGATGCTGCTGATGATGGTGATCATGATGGTGTCACTGAAGGTGTGATCATGATGGTGATGGTGAAGATGGTGGTAATAGGGATATTGATGATGTTGATAATGATGGTGGTAGAGTTAATGTTGTTGATGATGATAGTGATGGTAGTGATTATGTGGAGCCTCCTTCTTACCATAAAATTACATATTGAGATCTTACTCTTCTTTGGTCATTCTTCATGGAAGAATAAGATTGAGGAGTAGAGGCATTGTAGGCAGGGCAGGACCTAGCATAATTTAACAACACAGACAAATGAAGAAAGTGAGGGACATGAGTGGGTTTGCTCCATGAAGGTAGGCTCTACCTAAGTTTGCTCGTTACTTGGTGCCAGAAAACAAGAATTGTAAGAGAAGGCGGGTGAAAGGTGTTGGTATCTGCAGAACCGGCCCTGGTTTTTACCTCTTCCTAGATCCAGGCATCCATTCCCACAGTTGTGTTGCTACTAAGCATTGATCAAGACCCTTCTCCACTGAACTGTCCGAAGTACCTCTACTCTTCAGTTTCTTTTAGCCACGCACATGTGGCCAAAGGAAAGTAAGATCTTAAGATGTAGATTTAGAAGATGGGAGTGGAAAGAGGAAGAGATTTAGGGTAGCCTGACTCAGCTATCCACTTCTGTTTCTTGAAGTAGGAGGAAGGAAGGGAGGAAAAGGAGAGAAGGAACACATGAGAGAGTTCTGTTGCTGCCTTTTACAGTAGAGTGATGCTGCCCATACATAATCTCAGCCATATAGCTAACTTCTACCATGGTGGGGGAGATTAGGACTAAAAACATTTTAGAAAAGTGTGCAGCCCCCTGGACAGTAAGTAGTATCCAGCTCCAGTGGGGAAAACATACATATTGGAGTCCCGCAGAACTAATTCTGTTTTAGCTGTGGGCTTCAAGTAATTATTCAATCTCTTTGCGTCTCCATTTGTCTATCAGTAGAACAGGGATAATATGTGTCCCATGGAATTACAGAAGATTGAATGAAATAAAGTATATGAAGCACCGTGTTAGTACCCTCAGGCTGCCATAACAAATCTCCAAAAGCTTGGTACCTTAAAACAACAGCAATGTACTTTCTCACAGTCCTGCAGGCTGGAAGTCTGAAATTAAGGTGTTGGCAGGCAAGACCACACTCCTTCTAAAGACTCTGGACAAGCATCTTTCTTTGCCTCTTCTTAGCTTCTGGTGGCTCCAGAGATCCTTGGCATTCCTTGGCTTATGGCTGTGTCACTCAGTATCTGCTCCATCTTGACATGGCCCTCTTCTCTTGTGTGTGTCTACAGATCTTCCTCTCCTGAGGACAGTCATTGGATTTAGGACTCACTGTGACCTAATATGACCTCATCTTAACTTGACTGCATTGACAAAGACTCAATTTCTAAATAAGGTCACATTCGTAGGTATTGGGGTTAGGACTTCAACATATCTTTTTAGAGGGCACAACTCAACTCAACTCACTACATTTGTCTATCCCAGAGATTGGTGTATTGCAGGTAATCACAATTGTTAATCCCCTTTAAATCCCATTCCTTCTTCTCAAAGATGAAAAAACAAGTTGTTGCTCTTTGAAGGAAAAGGGGATTAACAATTTTGAAAACAGATTGCCAATCTTTAGCTACTGTGTTCTTTTACAGATGGATTTTTCAGTTTCCTTTCTATCAATATTTTGACATCACCTCCATGCAGTGCTATTCATGTTTATCCAGTTTATTGATTTTTTTTTCTTGTCTAGTGGCTACACAGTCAGGGCTCAGGGAACAGAGGGACATTTCCAGAACAAATGGAGTACTTAGATTTCATCTTGGTGGTAATGAAAATTCAAGATTTAGGATCAGGGGATGTTAGAGCAGGAAAACTGAATTGGTTCTCTGTCAGTCTCTTATAAGAGCCTTTGTGGACAGAGTCTGATTTATCAAAGGTGAGTTGTAAGTGGCATCATACTTTGATTGAGGTTTCAATAAACATTTGAGCTGAAGCTCCTGTTTCTGACCTAACTTAGCTTTGACAGTCTAGAAGGTCAGGGTGGCCTCACTGGTCAGTCAGAAAAAAAAATGTACCCTTGACTACAGTCTATATTGTGGCTGCAAAAATGAGGAATAGGCTAGTTGCCTTTTAGCCCCCAAACAATACATTCAGTGTCCCACGGTCTGGAGCCATTTTGAATTAAACTAATTGTCACAGGTTTGCTTTTCTGAAGAAAGATGCTGATGCAGAGTTTGGGGTATAATATGCTTACCATTGTACAGAGAAGAGTTAGCATACCCAACTGGAGGCTGCTGTCCTTAGAAAGGCTTGCTTACATTATTGATCCTGGGCTGGTGTCTGTGAACTTGGATTTCAGGATTCTCATCTTAAAACTGATAAGAGTGGCTCCCTGTACCTGAAGTGTTTTTCACATATAGTCTAGTTTATACCGATTATCTGCTGTTTTTCTTGGCGTATAGAATTTTGGTACATGCCACGCACAGGGTGCCTACACACTCAGCCTCAAATGAAAACCCTGGACACTGAGTCCCTGATGAGCTTCCCTGGCAGACAACATTTCACATGAGTTGTCACAGCCCCTCACTGGGGGAATTCAGCATGTCTTGTGACTCCACTGGAGTCTGGAAGCATATGCCTGGTTTTCCTTGGACTTTACTCCATTCTTCTCATTTCTGACTTTGCTTTGTGTCTTTTTGCTGTAATAAATCATACTTATGAGTGTAATTGTGTGCAGGTGGCCCTGGGGATCCTTGGTACAATCAAAACCCTCTATGAAAGGAAGAAGAAAGGAGCAGAATTGAAAAGAGGAAGAAGTTGAGTTGTGATTTGCATTGAAAAGGCTCAGCAGTCTGGGTGATTTTCATCTGTCAAACTTGCCTTACATTTTTTTATAATCATCATAATAATTGTAATAATTATTATTATTGTATCCTATTACACAAGTAATACATGCCCATTGTGGAAATATTAGAAGACAAGCATAAAGAAGGTGAAAAACCTCCTGAAGAAATTATGTTCAAATAAAATTCTACAGGATTTTCCTTATAATTTACGCATGTATATGTACATATATCCATATTATTTTTATTTTAGTGAAATGGAGAATATACTGTGTATTGTTTTGCAAAGTCACATTAGTATATAAGCCTTTTTATATATTAGTAGAAACGGATTCAAAAGTCTTCTTTTAAGTGGTAAGATATTCAGAACTATAGGGAAAGGGGGGAAATCTTAAAAGCACCCAGAAAGCAAAAACAGATCCTTGTAAAAGGTTATCAGGTACACTTCTGTCAGAAGACAGTGGAGTGGCACCATCAACATTCTGAGGGAAAGTGATTTTGAACCTCGAGTTATATACCCAGCCATGCTATCAATCAAATTGAGGGGTAAGTGACAGCATTGCCACATGTGAGAAAAGAACGTCTACTCTAAACAAACTTACTTGAGAATAAGTAGATACTTAGGATACTTCATCAAAATAAAAAAGAATTATCCAAGAAAAAGGAAGAAATGGGATCCAAGGAATACAGTTTTTCTTCAATCGGTAATGCTGTGACAATATAGAAGGCAGTGAAGAAAAAGAAAAAGCTCGCTATGATACCAGAAAACCTAGAAAGTAGCCAGGTCTGATTAAATCAGAAAGTCGGAGAACTCCGGGAGTGATGACTTTAAGAAAAAGTAAATTTGACTCTCTGTAACAGATAGTATTATTAAGAAAATGGGTGTATACTAGGAAGAAAAAAAGAAAAAAGAAAGGCCGTGAAAAACTTCAGGAAGAACAAAAAGTCGCACAAGGAAATGCTAATTCATATTGAAGCAAGCTGAAGATGTGGCCTGATTTGGAATAATTAATAAAGTGTGAGAAAGTGGGGTGAATTAGAAACATACTCCTTTGAGGGGCCAATATTTAGTGACACAGGATTGGATCCAATTACTTTACTCTGCAGTGAGCAGCATTTGCCTAATCATAGTAATAATGTCTTTTAAATTTTGTAGTTGCTGGAATTAACGTGCAAACAATCATCAGGACCGAATTCTGGTTGCAGAACAAAATATCTATGTTATAAACCTAATAAATTCTGGAAGGTAGAAATGGGGAAGGAGGGGTGGGGGGCAAGTGTGGGGCACTAATCTCACTAGTCAGAAGACGAGATTTTCTCTAAATGTAATGCCATTAATATTGGGGTCTAATTATTTAATTTAAAGTTACAGAGTATAGCAGGAAAGTGAGGGTGCCATAGGTTCTTTCTCTGGCCTCTGCAGAATTCTGCCCCTGATTCTCAGAAAATGTCACGGATTGCTAGTGCTTCCTTCGGATTGTCACGTATTTGATTTGGGAGCTTAACATTCTTGAGTGTCTGTGATGTGCTAGGCTTGGGGTTGGATGGCCCTACTGTGTGCAAGTCACCATGCGTCAGCTCTTTGACAGGCTTGTCATGCACTGAGAAAACTCAGGCTCACAGGGGACCATTGAGGGCCTCCAGGCAGCCAGCCAATAGCTGGCAGAGTGGGACTCAAATGCAAGTGAGTGTCCTGGCTCCCTGCTTGGTCTCTCTGACACTCAATCACCTGTGTGGCCTGGGAGACACGCAGTCTGACCACACATGAATCCCGCTCTCCTCCTGTCCTCGCAGGTTCTGCCAAACCATGGCCTCCACGCAGCGGGGTTCTTCTTCGCCTTCCTCCTCTCCCTTGTGCTAACCTGGGCTGCCCTCTTCCTCATGGTTCGCTATCAGTGTCTGCAGGGAAACGTGCTCACCAGACGTCGGGTGAGTCTTCCCTGAGGGTGGTTTGGAAGGTGGGGGATGTAAGGTTGAAGTTCATCCTCCAGTTCTGTGGGTCTCAGCCCTAGATCTCCATCAGCATCACTGAGGGGACTGTGCACAAAAACCCATGTCCAGGGCCTACCTCCAAAACTGATGCGTTTGTCCTGGGATGCATACCCATCATTCTTTTTTTTTTTCCTTAAGAGCCAGGGTCTCGCTGTTCTGCCCAGGCTGAGTCCAGTGGCTGTTCATAGGCACGATCAAAAACGCTACAACTTGGAACTCCTGAGCTTTGGCAATCCTCCTGCCTCAGCCTTCCAAGCAGTTGGGACTACAGCTACACACCAACATGCCCGGCCTAGTCATTTTTAAAACTTCCTCCTGTGTTTCCTGAGATGGAGTTTGCTGTGTCGCCAGGCTGGAGTGCAGTGGTGTGATCTCAGCTCACTACAATCTCTGCCTTCTGGGTTCAAGCTATTCTCCTGCCTCAGCCTCCCTAGTAGCTGGGATTACAGGTGTGCACCACCACACCCAGCTAATTTTTGTATTTTTAGTAGGGACCGGGTTTCACCGTGTTGGCCAGGATGGTCTTGATCTCTTGACCTTGTGATCTGCCCACCTTGGCCTCCCAAAGTGCTGGAATTACAGGTGTGAGCCACTGCGCCTGACCAAAACTTCCCCCAATGATTCTAACCACCAGCCAGGTGGGAGAACTCGTGCAGCTATTACCTGGTACACAGCCTGTCACCCACACCCAGCCCGTAGTCCCCACACATCCTGTCGCCCCCACGCAGTCCGTCGCCCCCACCCAGCCCCTTGCCCCCACGCGTCCCGTCGCCCCCATGTGTCCCGTCGCCCCCACGCATCCTGTCGCCCCCACGCATCCTGTCGCCCCCACACATCCTGTTGCCCTACTTGCAGCCCATAACCCCACTCACGTTGGCTGCTTTGTATTCTTGCGGCACCACATGCAGGTCTCATTCTGCATTCCCTATGGAAAAGCTTTGGGAGACTCCCGGTTATCCTCAGAGTGAAGCCCAGACCCTTGAGCCTGGATTTTGAAGCCCCCCCCCGAGACTGGCTTCCAGCTGCTTCTCTTGCCAGGTCCCACCTCACACCCCAGCTTCCCACTGTACCCAGTGACCCAGCTTCCCTGAGGGCGCTGAGCTCCTCATACGCACACCTGAGCATTTTCCTGTCCTCTTTCCTTCTCAGTTAGGGCAGTTCTTACCCATCCTTTGAGCCTCAATTTGGCCAATGCCTCTGCCTGCAAGGCGTAGCAGGCCACTTCCCGTAGGGTAGGGGCCCTCTCTCAGGTCCTCCACTTGGCTCCATGAGGCACCTGTTGTCATCCGTTGGACTGGACAGGGAGCTTCTCCACCTCTGCATTCCTGTCTGAGGGTGGGTTCCATTAAAAGCACACCCTGAGACTGAAATTCCAATCCAAGCAGTTTACGTGGGAAGTGATCCCAGGACATAAGGGGAGGGGTGGGAAGCGGGGCAGGAAGGGAAGGTGGCTGGTAAAGGGTGTGTTTCGTCAGGGACCTCTGCGGGGCCTGGGGCTTAGTCCTGCCCAGGGGCTCTGGAGATGGAGCAGAAGCAGCCACAGCATCGCTGTACCCAGGGGCAGAAGGGCTGGGAGAGATGTCCGCTAAGTTATCAGTTGGTGACAGGGAGGCAGAAAGGCAAGAATGAAGGGGACATGCTCCTGGCATGGCATCTGAGGCCAGCAGAATTGTTCAGGGAAGGAGTGGGGGTATTGGCTGGTGGGTCGTGGGCTGGTGGGCACTGCAGTGCTCAAGGCAGGGGACATGGCAAAGAACCAGCTGTGCCAGGGGCCCTACGGTGACTCATCGTCACCCAGAGGGGCAACACCCTGGCAGGAACATCTATCATCTTTGTCCCTCACTTTAGATCGTAAATGCTGAGGTCTGTGAGGTTAAATAACTTGCTTAACATGACCAGGCACAGGCTAGGACCCAGCTTCTGGGGACTCCCTCTCTCTCCTCTCTGGAGGCTGGAAATTCCACCCCAGCCTGGGTGAGGGGCCTGTTCCTTTTGTGCCTGCTTCCTGGAGGACAGAATTGTCATTTCAAAATGAGGTAAGCCCGCAATCTCCTTGGCAGGCAAAAGTGAGAAGAAAAATGGCCCATCTAATCAGACCTTGTACTGACTCTCCCAAAGCTGTTATCAATCAGAAGAAATAAACGCACCCTGCTGCTTTGATGTCGGAGCAGGATTCATTTCCCAGAGATTAAGGCAGATCATTAGAACTGCACAGAGGAAAAAGCAAGGGTATGAATTTGATTTAAGGCCTGAAGACCCTTTTTTCCTGGCATCACAGAATGAACTCTTTTCATGTTTTTCTTTTCTTTTTTTTTTTTTTTTTGCCAGCATGGTGGTGGTCATGCTCTAAAACAGAAGGCAGCCTTCAGAGTTGGATTTCCATCAGAAATCAGCTGGGCTCTTTTGAGCTGTGTGACCTTCAATAACGTGATTCCCCTTCTCTGAGCCTCAGTTTTCCTATTTGTAAAGTGGGGGCACCAATACTTCCTTGTTGTAACAGCTTCATGATAACACATAGGAAGTGCTGAAAATCATCCCTGCCACAGGGACAAGAATTGGTAAAGGTTAGCTATAGCTGTCATGCATTTTTGCAGAGTTAATGATATTGGGGACAAAGCAGATATATCTTCTATCCAATCAGAGGGTTGGGCTTAGGTATCTTAATGTCACTTCCAGCTCACAATCCTATTTTCTCCTTCCTTCCTCCCTCCCTCCTTCCCTCCCTCTCTCCCTCCCTCCCTCCCTCCCTTCCTTCCTTCCTTCCTTCCTTCCTTCCTTCTCACAGAGTCTCTGTCACCCAGGCTGGAGTGTACTAGCACAATCACAGCTCACTGCAACCTCTGCCTACCAGGTTCAAGCACTTCTCCTGTCTCAGCCTCTTGAGTAGCTGGGATTACAGGTGCCTGCCACCATGCCTGGCTAATTTTTGTAGTTTTAGTAGAGATGGGGTTTCACCATGTTGGCCAGGCTGGTCTCAAACTCCTGACCTCAAGTGATCCGCCCACCTCAGTCTCCCAAAGTGCTGGGATTACAGGCATGAGCCACCACGCTGAGCCCAATTCTCTATTCTGATTAGAAACCAACCAGATTTCTGATGTCAAGGCCCACCATATCCATTGGGAGGTTTCCTCTACTTAATAATGATAAAAATGATGATAGTGAAATCTCTTTATAGGTCTTGCAGGTTGAAAAGGTCTTTCTGTCCATTGTTCCACTTTACCCACACAACATCAGCATGGAGGGCTACTGGAATTGTGATCCCATTTCTTTGTGGAGAAAATGGAGGCTCAGGGATGTTACCAAAAGTTTGTCAGGGTTTACCGTGGTCACAGTGGTGGGGCTGATTGGTGGGGGCTCTGACTGCAGTACCCTTGCCTTTCCTCCTGGCTTTCCCAGCACATGGAATTCACAAGAAGGCCCACTCAATTATTATTTCTGCAATTCTCCTGAAGGTTTGGCAGCACGAGAGCAAGCTGGAACCCTTGCCGTTCACCTCAGCTGACGGTGTGAGTGAGGACCTTTCCCTTAACGACCAAATGATAGACATTCTGTCTTCCGAGGACCCTGGGAGCATGCTTCAAGCCTTAGAAGAGTAAGAATTCTAAATCCCATTATAGTTCCATAGTTGTGATGAATGCTTTAACAGCTGTGACATAAGAGCAAACACTGAGTATATTTCATTCATTCAGTCAATCATTCGCCCCTCTGTCGTCATAATTGAACAACTGCTATGCACCGAATGTTTTTAGCATCTAGGAGAAGAGGTGTAGAGGACATATTCCCTGCTCCAAGGAAATCTGATCTGGTGGGGAAGACCCAACCATAAACAGAAGTGACCACAAAATTGGGTGACAACCATGCTAGTGGGAATATCAGGGCTGGCAGAGCACAGAAGAGGAAGTAATTACTTCTGAGAGTCATAGAAATGCTTCCTGTGGAGGTGGCATTGAACTAATTATTTTAATTTTTAAATTTATTTTTAACTTTTACATTATATAGGGATACGTGTATAGGTTTGTTACGTAGGTAAACTCATGTCACAAGGGTTTGTTGTGCAGATGATTTCATCACCCAGGTATTAAGTCTAGTACTCATTAGTTAAGAGAGAGAATCTGAACTGATTCTGAAAGCTTATGAAGAAGGTTTCCAAGTTGATGAAGCAAGGAAACAATTTTCAGATGCAGAAAAGAAAGGGCAGATGTAAGAATTTGAAAGAAGCAAGATACATCTGGTGAGATGTCAGTAGCAAAGTGTGGGTGATGTGCAGATTGGGGCATTGAGTACAGAAAATAAAGAAGAGGCAGAGGGAGAGAGGCCAGACCAGGTGATGTGGCTGTGTGCTAAACTGAATTAACTTCTTTTGCAGTTAATGAATATTATCATCGTGCTACCTGTGTGCAATACAGATAGTACCAGACACAGCTTACAGACTTTACAGAACTAACTTGTATAATACACTTTAAAAAAATTATTATACTTTAAGTTCTGGGGTACATGTGCAGAATGTGCAGGTTTGTTACATAGGTATACACATGCCATGGTGGTTTGCTGCACCCATCACCCTGTCACCTACATTAGGTATTTCTCCTAATGCTATGCCTCCCCTAACCCCCACCCCGCTGCTATCCCTTCTCTAGCCCCCCACTCCCAAACTGGCCCCGGTGTGTGATGTTCTCTCCCTGTGTCCATGTGTTCTCATTGTTCAACACCCACTTGTAAATGAGAACATGTGGTGTTTGGTTTTCTGTTCTTGTGTCAGTTTGCTGAGAATGATGGTTTCCAGCTTCATCCATGTCCTTACAAAGGACATGAATTCATCCTATTTTACGGCTGCATAGTATTCCATGGTGTATATGTGCCACATTTTCTTTATCCAGTCTATCATTGATGGGTATTTGGGTTGGTTCCAAGTCTTTGCTACTGTGAGCAGTGCCACAGTAAACATATGTGTGCATGTGTCTATAATAGAATGATTTATAATCCTTTGGGCATATACCCAGTAATGGGATTACTGGGTCAAATGGTATTTCCAGGTGCAACTACTTACTGGCCTGAGAGAAGAGCCCTGCAATGTCTGACTCATGGCACTTCGTGAGCTCAGTGACTGTTCTCGGCAGAAAGGACTCTCCTATTGTTTGAATGGGTGTTCCTTCCTCACTGAGTGCCCAGGGAAGAGCCAGGCCTGCAGCCTCGGAAGTGCAGGGCTGACCTTGCACCAAGAGGAGAGTCAGGCCTTGTTAATCCATTTCTGGGTGCCAGAGTTGTGTCGATTGGTTAATTAAGCCTTGTGCAGCCATTCAGATGCGATTCTTCATTTTCACTTATTTCACTAATCAGAATGCCAAGGATACAAATTAAAATTTGCCACCTTGTCTGAGAGGAGTAGGGAGAAATGGACGGGCAATGGGAGGAGAAGTCATTGGCAGAGGTTCATAAATGTCACTTACTGTATTAAGTGGTGTGAGCAGCTCATTATCAAATGGTTTCAGAGCGAAAAGTCCGTTTTCTTACAAAACGTGAAAATGAAAAGTAGAGTGAAATGATTTGGATCGTGCAATCAGCACCTGGATATTTAATTTGCAAGTATGTAGTACTCTATAACCTTCGGGCCAAAGTAATTAGTACTTTAAAATAGGAAACTATTAATCCTCCTGTCTTTGTGTTTTATTCAAAAAGCGATGGGGGGTAGGAAGCCCAGTCTTTCTTTGTCCCTACATTTAATGAAATTATAAGCAGCTGCTACAGTTTGGTAGCCCCGATGCCTGACTACAGTAGGAATGTTGAAGTTTATAATGATTTTGTTCTTGCACCTCTGCAATTTTATATTCACTTCTCTTGGGAGCTCGTCTTGTTTTGCCTGAAGAGTGTTTAGCATTGATTATCAAGCATGCACTGAGAGGGTTCAGCTTGTGAGCTAAATTTATTCCTCTCCCCCAGCTTCCCATCCTCCCTCCTGTCCCAACATTCAATATTTATTGAACTCCAATTCTATTTCAGGCGTTGTGGTTGGACACTAGTTTTAGGAACCCAGTCTTTTTCTTTTCCCCAGTTATAGCATTGCCAATTACTTTTAATCTTTCCATCTTGATGTATAGTCCTGCTTAGGTGCTCCCAGAGAGAAATGTCACTCAGAGTGGCAGGAGCTTAGTATGCGTGGAAATCTGTGATGCATTCCCCACTAAAAATAGCGTTTCTCTCTGGCAAATCAGTTGTCCCGTTTGTAATTCTAACATGAAGCTGAGCTGGGAATCTAAATATGCCATTAGGTGACTTGATTGCCACCTCGTCTCAAGCCCCATCAGAGCCGTAACTTTGCTCTATCCTGCTGAGTTATTTTTGACAAAGAGCATTTCCTACGTGTGCATGGTGGTTTATCTTTTACATTGCTTATTCATAGGCTGTCTCTTACAGAGAGGATTTGAGGAAGGAATATGTCCTTTGATTTTTATCAGGCTCCTTGACTGTGGTTGTCATGGAGGTGGACCAGGAGGAAGGAGGAACCGGGCAGGACTGGCTGGTCCTGGAAGCTTCTAGGAGCGTGGACTGCCCACCGTGTTTTAGTTCCAGCCTTGCTCTTGGCCTGACCACTGCCACACACCTCCCGCCTGTGATCTTATTTGATTCTCACAGCTCTCCCGTTTTAGATCAGGAAGCTGAGGTTCAGTCAGGTTTATTGGTTTTGCCCAAGGCCACAGAGGTAGTAACGGATTCGCCTTAGGCCTGCGTGCTTTCAATCTTTTCTTCTGTTGACCGAACAGCTTTTTGAAAAGACTAAGCTTAGATTTTCCAGAGAGTCAAAGAACATAAGACAAAAAAGAAGTCCGGGCGTACGTCTGTTTCCTTTGATTAGAAAAAGCTTAGCACTCCTTTTGGATGCTCCCAGCATTGCCTCTAAACTGTCTCAAAATTGTGTTTGTACAAAGTAAGCATTCCATGAGTGTTTGTCAAATTGAGGCTTTTAAATATGTGTGTTGAGTAGTTTTTTATGTGCCAACCATACAGCATATTTTTACAACCACTCTTTTTATTCTTTATAAACACTGCGGGGAAATGATTTTGTTCCTCATCTCTAAAAATCTGAAGCCCAGGGAAATAAATTAAACGCTTTATTCAAGGTTCTTTTGCTCGTTTGTTCTTTGATTGGGTTGCTGGTTCATGCATGCAGTACTTTAAAAAAAGGAATTAATGGATTGATGAATCCAACAGATTGTTGCTGAGGACGCATTCAGCGCTGAGCACTGTGGTAGACCCAAGACTCTTGTTTGCTGGACGCTAGCAAGCAAGAGTCTTGGCTTCTGTCCTTATAGAGCATACACAAGCAAAACACAACTCCGTGCACTGGAAAATGTGATTCGACACTGTGGTCAGAGCTGTGAAGGGACAAGGGGCCCTGTTAAAGAATCTTGGAGAGGACGCTTCTAAGAGAGGCTTGTTAAGCTGACAGCTGGTGATGAGTGTTTTGGGGTGGACAGCATGCACAGGAGGTGGGAAGGGATGTGGGCATTTGAGGACCCAAAGGAGGACCAGGCCGGGATGGGAGGTCTAGAGGGCGCAGAGATTGAAGGGTCATCAGAGCCAGTGAGGGGCCTTCCCTGCAGCAGCACTGCCTCCATTCTTCATCCTGAAATTCTAATTTTCTTCACAACACTCAAGGTTGCTGGAAACTACCTTATTTTTTCAAATGAATGTTGTATTTTGTCTCACCCACCTAGACAGTAAGTTCTGTGAGTGCAGGGACCTCCTGTCTAGCTTGCTGATTCGTCCGCGGTGCCTCCAGCAGTGCCTGGAGCAGTGGGTGCCACTCTACAATGGTGTGTTTGATGGAAGTCACTTGCAGAGAAGATTTGAGGCTCTAAGGTACTTGATAGCAAAGATTAGGAGGAGGTGCAGCCTTCCTCAATCCTGAAAACAACGCCTTATATTTCCAGATGTGATGTGGCCCCGCAGCCTACCCAGCTCCCTCCAAGGATGTCCTGTGGCTGTGACACCCTTGCAGGGAGATTCTGTTTGATGGAAAGACAGGGTTTGATATGGGAAATGACATGGCTACAAGCTAAGGAACACCAAGGGTTGCTGGCAACACCAAGCTGGCATGGAACGGATTCTCCCCTGCAGAAGGAACCATCCCTGCCAACATCTCGACTTTGTACTGTTGGCCTCCAGAACTGTGAGGATATACGTGTTTGTTGTTCTAAGCTATCCAGCTGAAGGTACTTGGCTACACAGGAAAGTACCCTAGGAAACAAGTACACCTCCCTAAGCCATACCCTGTGAAGCAGAACCTGAGAGCAGGCCTGGGAAGCTGCATTTTACATCTTCAGATTGTTCTGATCATTCTGATGCTTAATAGTTTCAGAACTTCTGCAGGAGAGCAAAGTACCCCAATGATGCATCCTCTACTTGGTTCTGAGTTCACAAGAATCCTCATCTAAGGCTGCAGACCTTCCGTGCCGTCTCTCCCACCTCAGGGTTTTTATCCGCTGCAGCTCCGAGCCCTTGCCGGCTGGAGGATGCTCCTGAAGACCATCACTTCCCGGCCCGGCTGCCTATTGTTTGCATGAGCCGACACCTTCGTCTCGGCTTCTGGTCTCC